GCGCCCCCCCGGGGGCCCCCCCCCCCCCCCCCCCCCCCCCCACTTCTGACTCCCCCCTTCTTCACAGAGTGGCCGGAAAGCGGTGAAGTCGGTGCTGTGGGTGTCGGCGGACGGGCTCCGCGTGGTGGACGATAAGACTAAGGTGAGTGGGTGCTCGGGGTGTCCCCGGTCAGGGTTGGGGGGTCCTGGGTGACACCCCCCCCTTTCCCCCTTTACCCCCCTCCCCCGCCCGCCAGGACCTCCTTGTTGACCAGACCATCGAGAAGGTCTCATTCTGTGCCCCCGACCGCAACTTCGACAAAGCCTTTTCCTACATTTGCCGGGACGGCACCACACGCCGCTGGATCTGCCACTGCTTCCTGGCCCTCAAGGACTCTGTGGGTACCGGGCTGGGATATGGGAGAATCTGGGGTCATGGATATGGGGTGTTGTGGGGTCATGGATATGGGAGGCCCTGGGGTCATGGATATGGGAGGCTCTGGGTTTGGGGATACGGGATGCTCTGGGTTTGGAGATAAGGGATGCTCCAGGGTTGGGGATACAAGAGACTGCAGGGTTGGAGATATGGGATGCTCCAGGGCTGAGGCTAGGGGATGCTCCGAGGTCGGGGATACAAGAGGCTACAGGCTCAGGGATATGGGATGCTCCTGTTTTAGGGGTATGGGATGCTCTAGGCTCAGGGGTACAGGATGCTCAGGGATAGATGTAGGGGATACTCAGGGATTTGGGAGGTTCTGGGGTCATGGATATGGGATGCTGCAGGTCAGGGATACAAGAGGCTGCAGGGTTGAGAATAAGGGGTGTTCTGGGATTGGGCATACGGGATGCTCCAGGTTTAGGGATACAGGATGCTCTGCGGTCAGGGATACAAGAAGCTGGATAGGGTTGAGGATATGGGATGCTCTGGGGTTGGGGATATGGGATGCTCTGGGGTCAGGGATACGGGATGCTCTGGGGTTGGGGATACAGGATGTTCTGGGATGAAGGTAAGGGATACTCCAGGTTTAGGGATACGGGATGCTCTGGGGTCAGGGATACAAGAAGCTGGATAGGGTTGAGGATATGGGATGCTCTGGGACGAAGGTAAGGGATGCTCTGGGGTTGGGGATATGGGATGCTCCGTGGTTGAGGATATTGGAGGCTCTGGGGCTGGGGATATGGGATGTTCCAGGTTTGGGGATACGGGATGCTCCGTTTTTAGGGATACGGGATGTTCCAGGATGGGGATACAGGATGCTGTGGCATCAGGGATACGGGATGCTCCAGGCTTAGGGATACGGGACACTCCCCCTCCCTAACTGCTTATAGGAGGGGGCTGCCGGTGTCACCCTGGCGTCCCCCGTGTGTTGTCGCCCCCCCCAAACAGGGCGAGCGGCTGAGCCACGCCGTGGGCTGCGCCTTCGCCGCCTGCCTGGAACGCAAACAACGGCGGGAGAAGGAATGCGGCCTCACCGCCGCCTTCGACACCTCCCGCCCCCCCGTCACCCGCGAGGGCTCCTTCCGCGCCCCCGACAAAAAACGGGGTGAGCACCCTCGGGGGGTGGT